GTTTTCCGCATGCTGCTAGCTATACACATAAGGCACATAATCTGTCTTCCTCAATATATTTAATTTCAATTTCACTCAGGATGATTACATAGCAGTGAGCTATTGAGAATTTGAAAATTCAGAAGTTCAGATAGTTGCTTGTGCAGCTTGAAGTTGGAATTTAGTTTTTTACCTTTATAAAAGAGGTCCAATTTGCTTTCTTTTTCAAAGTTACGTTGGAGCTCATCATACCCAATTTGTCTGATCCAGGGGTTCCAGCATCATAAACAGGAAATGTTCTCATTGTTTGTTGTTTATTGAAAATGCTCCTAAATTTATGTTTGACCTGAGGATGTTGGGGGAAATCTTGCTGATTAAGCTAGAAAAATAACATTGCTTTACACTGAATTAATGTTACATCAGTACTAGGACAGAATCCACTTGCTCCAGAAACATTATAATCAAGGAAAAGGTTGAGTTCACTGAAGTCTTATTTACTTAAAACCAAATTTGGTTTTACCTAACATAAGGGAAGGGAAGAGAAGGGCAGATTGATAGGATTATTATTATATTCTTTGATGGTGTTAAAATAAATATTAGTTTGTACTGTTGTTTTTTAGCTATAAGCTTTCAGAACAAAGTCGAGACAGGCATTGTACAAGATACATAATTGTTTACTGATTATATGAAGTTAGTTAATATGCTGTAAAAATCAACCTGCTTCCTGACTATGTTAGAAGTGGTAGGTATCTCCTTGTTGTACCTCCCAATACATTTTATCCTGTTGTACAAAATATTTCTAATAGGTTGGATTCAAACTGTCACTTCCAATAACATTCTAAAAGCCTTTGAAGTACATCATTTTGTAGGGGTTGTTTTTAGACAAACTAATTGCCCACTCATACACATACATACAGTATGCACTGTGCATGCAATGTACACATTCACAGAGAGGAATTCTGTTCCAAAAATGTTTCAGCCCAGATTAATTCTGTTAAGAAAGATTTTCAAATTATGTGGCATGTCAGCAAATTATACTGTCGTTAAAAAACATGGTATGTCTCAGAAGATAGCAGCCCCTGGCTGATCTTGTCTCATTCAGGATCTAAGTCAGGGGTCTTCAAACTTGGCCCTTTTATGACTTGTAGACTTCAACTCCCAGAATTCCTCAGCCAGCGTGCCTGGCTGAGGAATTCTGGGAGTTGAAGTCCACAAGTCATAAAAGGGCCAAGTATGAAGACCCCTGATCTAAGGGGACTGGGTCTGGTTAATACAGTATTTGGATGAGTTAGAATCAGAAAATTCCTAAACCAGGAAAGTGAGAAATAGTCAGGGGTGTTAAACTGCGGGCCCGCGGGCCGGTTTCATCATACCAAAGCCGCGCCCACCCCATTGCCGGCAATGCAAAAAAAATTGTGATACATCGCGACACATCACGTGACGTGGCGAGTTTGACACTCGTGCTCTAGACAGAAGTGTCTGCAGAAGTGGAACAAGTGATGAAATAAGTATCACAATGTTACAATGCAAATTCTGCCCCTTTTTGTTTACATCACAAGACCACATACAAGTATGTAAGTGGTAGGGCTTGAATCATGACATTCCAATGTACGTTTTGGCATTTTGGCATCACTGTGCTTAGTAGCAAATGGGACTGATTTCAGAAGAAAAAGGCGATAAACCATTTTTATATTTGTGCCAAGAAAAACAACATAGAAGTATCTATTAAGTCATCAAAACTGTGTGCAACCTGTAGGAGTTTTTACTTTTTATTTTGTGTCTGCAGAATTGCAGATATAGCTGTCTGGATACATGCATTAAATAGTTGGATGATGGGATCTAATTTACAGAAACTCAGAGCTTTTTAAAGTTACATATACCATGCTAAAAACTAAAAACATAACTGGATTTCATCAGTATACAGGAAATAAAAAAAACCTAGTATTTTTATTACCATGGAAAAAAGTTCCATCTCATTCACAGAATGTCTCAGATTATCTACGTCATAATTAATATTCAGTTGAGAAAGCAGAAGCCTGAGCTGTGGTTTCAGTTGGTCAATTTCTGCAGTGTGTTGAGGAAGTGCGTTCTTTGCAATGGTTCCTTTAAGAAAACAAAATTAATGGAAGAATATAAGAAATGTTAGATCCTCCTGACTCTTAAGCCAACCTCTTCCCTCCGAATCTCATACTATACGTGACTTAAACTTTTGTTGATCATTTTACATGTTGAAACATCTTCTCATCTACCAAATCTTTACAAAAAAAAATAAAGTCTCCCAAGACTAAGTATTTCTTGGACAATTTGTTTGCTTGCTTGTTTAAAAGATTTGTAAAGTGCTCCTCACACAATCTGTGACTCCGGATGACGTATATCCATAAAAATCAGGAAAATAAAGGAAAATAAACAGTGGTAAGTCCTTGACTTATAACTACAATTGAGCCCAAAATTTCTGTTGCTAAGTGAAACATTTGTTAAGTGAGTTTTATCCAGTTTTATGACCTTTCTTCCCAGCACTGTTAAGTGAATCATCACAGTTAAGTTAGTAGTATGGTTGTTAAGTGAACCTGGCTTCCCCATTGGCTCACAAAAGGTGATCACATGACCTCGGGACACAGCAACCGTCATAAATACATGCCAGTTGCCAAGCTTATGAATTTTGATCAAGTGACTAAGGGGATGCTACAATGGCCATACGTGTGTAAAACAGCCATAAGTCATTTTTGTCACTGTTGTTGTAATTTTGAATAGACATTAAATGAACTGTTGTAAGTCAAGGACCCTGTATTATACAAGACCAAAATAAGTGGGCAAAAAATATCACTTTAATCTTGGCCCCAAAACTAGAGACAGTGATATAGGGCAGGGGTCTGCAACCTTGACAACTTTAAGACTTGTGGACTTCAGCTCCCAGGGAGCTGAAGTCTACAAGTCTTAAAGTTGTCAAGGTTGCAGACCCCCTGCTGTAGGGAAAAAAAACTGTTTATGGTCAGAACACTAAGTTCCAGTTTGTAGTTTTGTAGCCCAAGCGTCATCCTAATGCAGCTTCTACTGAGAGACATTTTCAAGGTATATTTCAAACCCCAAATCTAATTATGTTCCCTGCACAGATGTCCTTTGCTCATAAGTTTATTGATACAAGTATTTTAATTACCGTACAACAACTTGCTACAGTTCAATCAGGTTCACCAAGATTTGTAGAGCTGTAGGTAATCTAATTTGTTGTTTGATGGCTTGGCACGAATAAAGCCATCTGTGTTCCTACTCTACACTTCACTCAGTCTTTTAATGTTTTACTTAATCATTTTCTCATTTAATCTATCCAATTTAAATCTATACTGTACAGCAGATGAAGTTGTAGACTGTATTTAATATCTCTGAAAAAAATGAAATGGGATAACTTTTTACTGAAAGTAAATAGCAAAGAAACAAATCATTTAAATTGTCCTTCTGGCTCCATAAAAGCCTACTTTCCTTTGAAATTATAGCCAGATATGAACTGAGTAGACTACAGAATCACATGGCTAGAATCCTGAAATGACCTTGGATTCAGTCTAAAGGTAGAATGTGCACATATTTGTTCATCTTTGTTAATTCAATCTAAGAAGTTACTGCAGTGTTTGTATAATCATACAGGTGGTCCTTGATTTACAACCATACAGGAGGCTGCCCATTATGATCATAAGTCTTGAAGGCTGTAAAATGAGTCACGCACATAAGCAACACG